TCGTTTCTCTTCAGAAAACAAAAGATCGAAACATAATTCCACAAACAATTCTGTTTTGAACAGTACCGCTGCCACAAGCGAACAGTGCAGCCACAAGCAAAAATTCTATCTTTTTTTCTTCAGAAATATAAATAACAATCACAGCAACTAAAAATAACAATACAAGCACAAGAATGAACTAAAATTACTTCCCCAGCAATGGCACCAAAATTTGTTACGATGCCGCGATAATCAACTAAAATTACTTCCCTAGCAATGGCACCAAAATTTGTTACGATACCGCGATCGCATAAATTAATTACTCTAACTTAAAACATTCGCACAAATTAATTACTCTAGCTTAAAACATGCAAGATAGTATAGATCAAGTAAAGAATCAATCCCATAAAAAAGATTTAATTCAGATTTTTATGTTGTACGTTATACAATTAGAGGGTTTTGATTTATAATGATTTAAACTATAAAAGAAATTAAACTAGTAAACACAATCAATTAAAACCGAATTCTATCAAAAAAAACCCAAATCTTAATCACAATTACTACGAAATGCATATATCATGTAGTAATTGAATAAGCTACATGATGCTTAGAAACTTCAATTGATGCTACAGTCGTAAGATACCGTAATCCACCATAGATGATACAGGAGAGCTTATCATCAAGCCGTTGCTTCTAAAACATTGATTCAAGGAATGGGGCTTTCGCAGTTGAGATTATGAATTGACATAAAGGTTACCAAATGATAAATCAGTCATGCGTAAAAGATTTGTAATCTAACCTACTAATGGCATCCCTCGTCTTCTTTTGTGCCCAGAAAACCATTTAAGAAATTTTAAGGATAAAGGAAAGGAAGCTAGAAATAACAGGCAGGATGGATACAGAAGATAATAACTAGCCAAATTACACACTATTTACCATTAAACACTTATCAAGCATACATCAAATGGACAAACACTTGTAAGCATATAGGATATAAACAAGGACGACACCAGGATTTTCAGCTATCATTAACATGAGAAGACACACAATTCTTGATTGAAAAAGTAGATAGATTCTAACCAAGAAAACAGGCATCACATTCAACCGGCGATTTCAATAGCCTTGACATCATGTTTCTTCACTTCCTCCTTGGGCACAGTGACAGTAAGAAGCCCATTTTCGATAGAAGCCTTGACTTGATCCATCTTGACATTTTCAGGCAGCCTGAACCTTCTCAAGAACTTACCACTACTACGTTCAACACGATGCCAGGTATCATTCTTGTCTTCCATCTCCGTATTCCTCTCTCCACTGATCTGAAGCACCCTGTCGTCTTCGATCTCGACTCTCACTTCCTCCTTCTTTAGGCCCGGAACATCAGCTTTAAAGACATGGGCTTCTGGGGTCTCTTTCCAATCAATGCGAGTGCTAACAAAAGCTGAGTTCTCACGAGGGATGAGGGAAGATGAGGGGAAAGGGAAGTCCTTAAATGGATCCCAAGCCTCGAAAGAAGAGAAGGGGTCGAAGATGCTGCTGCTACCTCGTCGATTGTTGAAGAAGCTTGGAATCATTGCCATGATATATAAGCTCTCCCTTGCTTGGCTTCTCTTTTTTTTTTTAAATCTAAAAAGGGTGTTGATATGATTGGTTAGACGCTGAGAATTGTCGTTGTGAATTGCTGATTTTTCTTGATTGATTGGTGTTCATCAGGGAGGTTAGCAATTTATAGAAAGCAGAAGAGGAATCGCCATGGCTTCTCTTGAGGAACTTTCTGGCTTGCTCTTGAATAATCGAGGCTTTTTCACGGAAGTTTCTGGGCATCGTTGGTTTTCCAAACTCGATTGGGTTTGAGTTTGAAGCAGTGACTTGGGGCCCACAATTATTAGACCCAGGCCTGCCATTGAGATATGTATGAACAAACAGGATTAATTAAAAATTAGATTTCCATCGGATCATTCAGCCTTAATTGGATTAATTTTCATTTAATCTTTTTAAACTCTATTTAGATTAGATCCGAGGTGATCAAATTCCAAATTGACTTATCAATTTAATATTTGGGGTACACGAATAAGGGCCATGAAATCTAGATAGCCTTGGCCTTCAACTCTTTGCAAACCTCTTGCATGAAGTGCTGCGTATGTATACCGATGTGTCCTTTTTCGTTGTGATTTATTTTATCCCTTTTTGAAGGGAAACCTCTTCCTCCATGTACAAGTTAATTAGTAATTCAGTGAACCTTTAACCTAATTCAATTTTATTTCATTTAATCTTTTTAAACTCTATTTAATAAAAAAAAATTAATATTTGAGTTTAATAAAAAAAACTTAAATATAATCTAATTTAATTTTGAAGGATAAAATCATTAAAAAAGATATTAAAAAAACTTGAAAAAGAAAAGGACTAACAAAAAAAATAAAAATAAAATCTAACAGGAAAATATCTAAGGATGATGAAAATTGAAAAAATTAAAAATAATTCTAAAAAGATACAATTAAAAGAATCAGGACGAAACTTGAAAGATTAAAAAATTATAGGGGTGCAATTGAAAATTATTTGTAAGATGATAAATTATTTATAAATTAAAAAATAATAGGGATAAAATAGAAAACAAATATTGAGGTCTAACCGGATATAATGAAACAAAAAAAAAGGTTAAAAAAAAGGATAAAAAATAAGAAAACATCAATTAAGAAAAGAAAAAAATAGGGTAAGTTTGCAATTTATGGAAACCTAAATCTAGGTCCAATCAATAAGTTTATTATGAGCTAATTTTAAAATATCAATTTTAAAAACTTTTCAAAGCAAAAAAATCAACAATCAAATAAGCATGGATTAAATTTGACAACAAAAAAAAACAAAGAATAATGGAATTATAAAACAAAACCAATTTGAAAAATGATCCCAAATAAAAACTTGTCATGGTCAAGAAATTAGAAATCAAGAGAATATAGATTAAATTTGATAGAAAAAAACAAGTTAAAGAGGGTGAAATCGCAAAACAAAATCAATCTAAAAAATAACTCATAATAAAAAAATAACAATCAGAAGGATGAAGACTAAATTTAAAAGATAAGAAATTTAAGAGTGAAATTGAAAAAACACCGATTTTATAGATTATTCAAGATACAAACAAATCAAAAGAAAAAAAAAATAGATCAAATTTGAAAAACTAACAAATTAAAGGGTTCTTCTTGAATTTTGAGAGGCTTGCCTTGAAAATCCAAGCAGGGAGGAAGAGAAGAAAAGGAAAAGAAATGGTAGTACACGTGTAGACTTATCAAGTCGGAGAAAAATTTAAAAAGATTTGTCAGGATTTTTTGAGTTCTTCATGTTATTAAATAATGATTGTCCTTTTATATTATTATATTAATCAAATTTATTAAACTCAATCAACTCAATGACTTGAGTTTTGGATTATTATTATTATTTACTTCTTTAGAAATCTTAGTGTTGCCTTAATTGTTTTCATTTTAAATTTGAAAAGATTTTGTTTCAACCCCAAGACCAACAACTAATATGGATTAACTTAGATCGGTTTTTTTATCTTTTTTTTTTTTTAAAGTTGAGATTTTTTTTTATTTTCAACTTTCAATATTTGGCTATTTCTAATTAAGCTTTTCATTTTGTTTTGTTGTAAATTTTATAGTTTTATCACAATCTTATATTCTATATCGTGAATTTTGTAAGATAAATATAGTTGGCCTGAATCAATCTAGTATGTTGTTATTTTAGTATTTTTAATAAATAAAATATTTCATGCAATGTATCACCATTTAAATATTTTAAAGTATTTCGGCCAATATAAATCAATTATTTAACTTTCTAATATCTTTTTAGATTTTTTTAAATTGAAAAAAATAATTCAGCCCACCTATGAAAAAACTAGCATCATACTATAAGTAGTTAACTTACTCTTTTCACCTTAATAAATATTTTAAGATAAATATAATATAAAATAATATTTTACGTTTTATATTTTATATTTTATATGTTAATATTTGAAATGTTTTCTTGGTTCAGATTTATTAAAGTGGATTGTATGATATATATATATATTGCTATAATAAATATTAATTTATTTGAAAATATTATTCACTGATACACCTAGAAATATACGAATTAACATTAGCTTAAGTTAACTTCTTCAAACTAAAAAAAAAAATGAAGAGGGACATAACACAATCTAACAAAAATGTGTATAATGATTCTGTTCTACACAGAGCTTCATGTAACTCTTTCTTTCTCACACTCACACATCCTCAACTTCTCAAGGTGGGGGGAGGACTCTATCCAGTATCATCCATGAATCCTGAAATTCATATGGTTCAGTGTACAAGCATGCTTCCCTTCACAGCAACTCAAATTAGTTGATCCTCATGGAGATTGAAAATCATTTCTGACCATTCAATGTATTCAAAAGAAATTAAGAAAAAAAAATTATCTTCTTGGATGACATCATGGTTATGAAACCTGTCAACGCTTGCTGACGAGGGGGGAGTGGGATTCTCGAATCTTGGCGCTAAATCTTCCCCCGATGATGCCATTGCCGTGTTACATCATCGTACCATGAAGGAAGTGGCGCTGAGTACACGTGGCCACACTTGCATTTATTTCTTCATAATAAGATATTTTTGCCTCGTGAGTCACCATTATAGAGGTGACAACAAATCTGGTGGATGTGCAAGTGTGTAGGTGCCGTTGGTGTTTGTAGACTTATAGTGGAGGATACCAGGTCAACTGGGAATAACAACTGGACGAACAGGGTTGCCGAAGACTTGGAGAGTTCGTCACTAATCTCAGCAGTTGTGGACTTTGACGTCTATGATTAGGGTTGTCAGATTTGACGGCAATGAAATACTCATGTGTCAACGGTGATGGCGGTGAAGCCTGTAAAAAGTGAGTCATGGAATGTTAACGGCGGAGTTTCCGGTCAACGATATTGGATGGTAAAGCAGCGGGACTTGATGGTCACCAAATCTTAAGAACAACCTCGAGATGTCTGGCCCCGAAATTACTAAGAATTCAACACTGTAAAGACAACTTTCTCATTTCGTGATGAACAAAAAACAATTTTCACAACGCCAACAACAATACAAGTGCGACTTGAGAAGAAAAACGTTAAAAAAATCAAATAACATTGAGGTACGAGGACCGTTAACGATGACTTTTTTTTTCTTTCTCAACAAACCCTTTTATAAATATATATATATAAAGATATTGAAAGAATTCTACATTTACAATGGGGGGGCTATATGCATATATAAATAATATATATATATTTATAGCATGTTTACGCCATCCACGCTGTAGGATGAATATGAGGCAGCAAGCAGAGCTCCGCCAATGCCTGATCCGTCTTCTGTAACCTGGAGACTGACATGTTGGGCCACATCTCCCAATATTTCATTCAGTGCTTCATGCAAGTACTCTCTGAACATTGTATAACTTGTATATAAACCCCCTTCAATCGCCACAACTGTTCTTTTCATTTTAACATCACTTCTATTTCTTCCACCAGTGATGCCTCCACTCCCATCCCGTCCAATCTTCTTCAAGATTCCCACAAGGGGTGTTGCGGGGCGGGCATGCAATCCATCTACCTCCAAAGTTTCTTTCAAGATCTTAGCAACTTCCTTCAGCTCAGGAGAGTGATCCTCATGCATTGCAGCCAATAAAGGTGTTCTGATTAACAAGCAATAGAAGAAAATGAGTGACTTAGAAACTTGAAATGACAATAAGCAAGACAAGGGACAGGCAGTTTATACAACGATTAAATCATTTGTTCAGCTAAAGGAACCCCTAGTCCACACAAGATTTGTAACCTACTGCAAAATAAAGGGGATTGACAATCTGGAGGAAACAGGTCCAAATATATCTGACTCTAACGAGATTCTGAGAATAACTCTTCGAACAATGTCACCGAGATACATTCCTGATATCATTTTCTCAAAACCCTGCAACAAATTGCAACAAAAAAACAGTGAGCAGGTCCTAATAGTTATCAATAACAAAAATCTGAGCAACTGCTGTATACCTGATCATTTGGGTTAGGGCTTTCGGAATCCAAATCAATATCATAAGAAGTTCTTGGCAAATGAGATGACCAGAAATTTCCCCATTCCATGTTAACAACCTAATTAAGCAAAGATAACAGCATAATGCAAGTGAGAAAGGTTAATAACGGATCATTTTTCAAGCTAATAGCAGGAAAATGCTTTGAATGAGACAAAAGAATGGTACCATGTATCCAGAACTTGTAAGCAGACCTTGACACTTTATGATGGCATCTGCCCGTTCTAAATAGCAGGCATTGGTACCTGTTCCAATTATCACAGCAGCAACAGTATCGGCATCATGATAACGTCCGAGTGCTAAGGTTCCCACAGTATCATTTACCTGTTCAAAACAAAATGCGCCTCATTTTTCCTTCATTAATACATTGAACAAAATCAAAGAGAGAACCACACCCGTTCCAAATGAAATACGCCACCCTCTCACAACAAGGGTTAAAGAAATGACAGTTCAAGAAAGACATCCAGATAGACAAAAACTATTAACAAAAGGTAAATTTGAAATCAACAAAGGAATAAGTTCACAAGCTCAAGCATATTGGTATTTGTGCATTTATGCATACAAGACCTGGTAATCTTTAAGTTCTAGATCAATCCAAATTGAAATGTAAGATGAACTTTATTTTGCATACATTACATCATCAACTGTGACCTATCCAAAATCCTGGTATGTGTAAAACCCCACCGGTTACTGTAGCGGATGTTTTTCTTATGATTAAGTACCAAATATATCAATGAAAGAAACTCCATGCAAGTGAGTGGTAGGGAAAATCTTCACAGGCGGTCTGCATGATGATCAAGAACTTCTTTTATTCTGATCATAAATGAAATTACGGTTACCTAAGGAAAAAACTCAACTGACTTGGTATAGTATATATTTTTTACTGCAAAATAGTTCCTGTACCAAAAGGAAAAGGCATACTTTTGACTGATAAAATATAATGCCAATTGAAATATGCCCAAAAAGCATCCAATTTTTTATTTATCCTAGTACCTTCAAATAGCATAACTCCATAATTGAATTTTTATATTAGTTAAAGGAAATTAATTAGCAATGTTGCTTCCGTAGGAGAAGTGCTTACTAGCAATGCAACTCGCATGTCTAAACCACTCCTGACCAATGCTGCTTCTAAAAGTGTGACCACCTCTTTTCCAACCTGCAATCATTTGTGCAATAAATCATTCAATAAAAATAGGAAAACTAAAGAAAACTTACACTTATAATAGTCACTTGATTAAAATGAATAAGAACTTCCAGATTGACTAATAGAAGCATTTCACTTGCATTTAAACATATTTACAATGAGCAATCTCATTATCAGGCCAGTTATGTTTTTATGATTTTTCCTCATCCTAAAGTCACATGCAATGAAAACACACAACCAGGGCACTCCAATGCTTCACTTGCTGCCCCTTAAGAACAGCACAAAACATGTACAGACATATTGAGAAGAGCAAAAAGGAGCAGAAAAACCAAATATTTGCCTCACCAGGAGGACATGCAACTAACAATTATGCAGTCAACATTTACGAAGTTTTCTTGGTAGAGATCATCTAGCTTACCATGTCTTCAATTGCAAATCCTTTTGTCCATTTGATGAGGATCCCTGAACGAAGTGATGACTGTTTCACTGGAAAAGAAAATGTAAACCCAAGCTCCCTTGTTCTAACTGGAGAAGGCTCGGAACCACTTTCTTCTTTTTCAACAAATTGCTTCAAGGTTGAAGCAATAAAATCAAAGAGATCCTGTAGCCAAAAATGCACATTAACTGCCACATCTATCAGCAGATGATCTTTAATCAAGCATGCCCTAAGATAGCAAGAGTATTTGCAGTGCAAACTCAGTCACCTCACTTGTGCTTGTCAGCAAGTGCTGGGGAATGGGTTGTCGCTCCACATCTTGAGACAAGATTGAAGATCTTCTACCTCCTAGCTGAATCCGCAAGACCCTAAAATTAGTACCCCCAAGATCTAGAGCATAATAAGTTCCTATCTCACTCCTGACAACAACATCAAAAATCAATTTACCAAGGCAACCTAAGCAAACAATACAAATATAGACCGCATAATTGAAAGTAGATACAACTCCAATAACTGATCATTAAAAAAAGAGCAATTTAAAAACACAAACAGAAGCACAGTACATTATTGGCCCCCAAGCAAGTTAGTAATTATACATTTACGTTATGAATACCATTCATGCCAATTGTGAAATTAATCGGCTGTCCATATTTGTCTCATTCATCGCTGCAAATGTCATTAATGTACAAGAAAGTGTCTTTTTTCCTTCACTTCAGAAACTTTAGATTGATGTGCATTGCATGCATGGGCAAAACCAACTGTGGCTAAAAAGGGCAAATTTTATGCAGGATAACAGTGGCAATGGTCACATCTGGTGTAACTTGATCCCGAATCTTCTAGCTAATATAAGATTCAAAGACCAGTACCAAAAACAGGCTAAACACAATCAACAACTATAAACATGCCCTCTCCATTCCAAGATCCAATTTCAAACATTGGAAGTTTTCAACAGTCAGCCCTCCTCAAAAAGAAAAGGGGGCTTGCACCGCATGTACAGCCTGCCAGTTTCAGCAATGGATACCATGAACTCCTTGTGAAAACATGAAATATGCAACTACTATGTTTCTAACCAAATCAGCGCTCCACCAGAAAAATTGCAGTGATGTATTTGCCCCAGCGGACTTTTAAAAACTTTGGTAAATCACGTCAGATATGAAAATTCTGTTCATTGAATACAATGCAGATTCTGTCACTGATTCTTTGAGCAACCAATCCCATCCACTTGGGAAAGAAGACTAAATGAAAAACAACAGATTCCAATTGAGGAACCTAAACACGTAGAATTTCTCAAACACTATAAGATTTTAAATCAGAATAGAAGGGAACAGAAGGAGAACATTTAGATTCTATAAACTTAACTGTAAAGTTTTGTTTGAGACAAAAAATATTCCCAAATCAAGTAGTGAAAAAGTCGAATCATTACAAATATGATATGTCAAAACAACAGATACGAGGACATGAATATATAATTCAAAAGCGCAGGCGTTTACAAATAAACCCAATTCCAAAACCACTGTACCAGAATCATCTAACCGAGTGAACCCACCAAACATTTTAAAAACAAACTTATACAACACGAAGGAAAAAACAGCAAATAGACCGAACATCACATCAAAACAAAACAAAAATAAAACTGCAACAACCAAACACTTTTAACAGTGACAAATTTGGCAGAAAGCGTGAAGAAACACAGGAAACAGAAACAACACAAAGAAAGACTGACTGTCCAAGTTGCAAGAAAACAAGGAAAAAATGTTCAAAAACCATTTCAAAACAGCAATGGGAAACAATGGTCCTGACTATATCAAATTTCAATGGAAGATAAAAATAGCTAAGAGTACAAAAAGCGTGAACATCCCAGAAAAAAGATCGCAAAAATCGTCACGAAAAGACCAAAATACCAAACAACCTCGAAAATGAAATTTGCAGAGCCAAACTAGTGAAAAATCAGATAAAAATCAATCACAGCCTATCAAATCCAAGACAACTAGGCAAACAAATATCAGCAAAAGAAACTAAAGTGACAGGTGCCATTCAACCAATCATTCACCTTTTGATTCCTAAACCAACCAGCAATCAACCAGTCAATCAAGTATGAAATAGAATACACGCGCAGGCGCACTTAGTAGCTCTCACAAGTCGAAACCAGTAACAAAAACAACAACGGAGAGATAGATTAGATTATTACCCAGTAGGCAAATGGTCAACAAAAGTAAGTAACATTTTGAGCTTGGAGCCACCTTCAGAAGCCAAACCAGCATGCATCTCCACAGCCATAGCATCCACTACTTGCCTTAACCTCCCAACTGGTGTCTCACATGCTTCTTCTAGCTCTTTCAAGACGCTCACCACTCTCTTCCACTTCCTCCTACTCCCTACCCTCCTCCCCACAACCACTCCTGCCACCGCACACGCCGCCACGGCCACCCCAACCGCCACCCCCACCGCCACCTTCCCCATCACCCACCTTTTTATCTAACTATTCCACCTGCCTCCCTGTTACTATATCCTCACCAATCCAAGAGAGCAGTAAACCGACGCCGTTTCATTGTGAAACATCGAAACTTTCCTGTGTACATGAACTATCTGAATGAAACCCGGGTAGGAAAAGGTTAGGTACTTGATGAGGATTCAGCGGCGGGGGACAATCGCCGGTGAAAGCTCTATGAAGGTGAACTGCTCGAGGAAAGGGCTTAAAAAAGATTTTTTTTTTTTTTTTTTAATTGAATTTTACAGGGAAGCGTTAGGAGGAGTTGTTTTTGAGGGGGTGAGGAGAAAGGGAGAGGGGGATGGGTTTATTTTTTTAACAAAAGAAGCGGTATTTATATATGAACTAAAATGACAGATTTGCCACTGTTAGTGGTATAGAATGACTTCTTTGTGTCGCGTATCTTTTTGGAGATTTTATTACCGTTTACGAGAAGATTTTTGAGGTTAATGTGAATTTTGACTCGTGGGCTTTCCTGCTTTTTGGTGGGGGTGGTGCCTGTAATTGCCGTCGGTGTTGATTGCCTTTGACCCGCTTGATTAAGACCTTTCCAGTGTGGAGATAAGCCACGTAGGGGTGGCTAGGAAACGCCCTTTGCAATCGACGATTGAGTGACGTGTAAACGTGCTTATCACTGTCCGGTGAGAAAAAAATAGCGTCCGAATTCATAGATCATTATTTTTTCTTTTTAATCTCGTGTCATTTGCGAATGGATTTGGCTCTTCCACCGACCTCCTAGCTTTAATGCATGCATGTTTTTCCCATCGAAATTCGTGTTCATGTACGATCGATGCTCGAACAGAAAACAGGGCGTAATGGGAACCAAAACGAAGAAAAATATGAAGAGCAGGGATGCTATTCCTCAAGGAACAGGAAAGGGGGCAACGCAGTTTTAGGAATCCTCTACTAAATATCCAAATGGCAAGTTCCAAGACACCAACCCAGCATCCTCCGTCGCCGTGAATGATGAACGAACCTCCGGGATAAAACAGGAAGGAGAGGGCAGGATGGGCAATAAAGAAATGCTGCAGGTGGGTTCGGGAGACAGGGGGGGGGGCCTTTCGCTTTGGTTTTTTACCCTGTTGTCTGTTTGTATGCATGCATAAAAGGGAGTGGTGCCGGGATTGCCATATTTTCGAGGCAGGATTCTTTAAAAAAGAGATGAAACGGCGACGGTAGCTGCGTCTCTCCCCCTCGTACCTGCCAGCTGTGTCCCGCTAATTCCAGCTGTGCTCGCAGCACAACTAAAAGCCCCCACCCGGATCCGTGAGCGTGCCCCCACCCATTTTATTTCTGTATAATCATTTAATAATTAAGGAAAAAAAAACCATCACTGTACCAGTAGGAGTGTCTGTGACTCTGTGTTGTATATTATTATGAATATTCACGAAAGAGAGTCACGAACTCGCGTTCTTCCAGGCTGCAAGTTGAATGATCGACCTGTCTTGTTTCGCTCAAGATTTAAGCTTTTAATAATAAAAGTAGATTATTTACCTTGACTCTTGACCATGTTGCCTTTTGTTTTTTTCTTTCCAGAACAGCCATGGGTTTGAACAAAACAACATGCTGCGTACTGTGATTTCTTCGACAGAGTTAGTTAAAGATTAAATAGTCAATAATGGCGCTTTCCATGTTTCTCGACTTTTATATTGCTAATGTTCTTGGGAAAAAACACTAATCTGTTTTTTAAAATTCAGTACAGTTGAGAGGTAGATTTGTTTATCATTTCATATTTCTGTACAAATCTGAACCTCTAGAAATGCTCCAACTGTAGATGATTTGTTTAATCCGTGATTTTAAATAGATTTATTCTTGATAAACATGTGGTCTTCAGAAATATCCTTTATCTTTAAGGGTTTTTTTTTAAAATAATTTGTTTTTACAACACTGTGATGTCTGGTAAATGTGTTTGTTTGCTGGGAAAATAAGCACACTCTCTTTTACATGGTTATTTTTTCTTCAAGTTGGAGGCCTGTGTTCCTGATGTGGTGTAAATCGGATGAGAGCATCAAATTTCAAGAACGCAACCACCCTTCTAATCAGCTTGCAAGTAAGCATCCATCTTTTGTTTTTAAGAATTGATTTACCTGTTCTTCTAGAAAAAATGAAGTAGTTCCCGGAAAATATAATTGTTTACACTAAAACCGATGCAACGGGGGGGGGGGGGGGGGGGATGACGACTTTATTTTTTTAAGAAGAAATCCAAAGACAAGAATGGTTGATGTGCACTTTATTCGCAGTTAGAGCAATTGCTTTGGGCACTCCTGTAAGGCTGTATCACGGTGTTGTAAATGTATTCAGGGAAAGCTCGCATGAGATGTTCCATGAAAACTCTAATGGATGTGCTCGGATTGTATGGTGTTGATATACAATATATTTTAATTAAAATAATATTTTTTTCATGATTTTTTTTATTTTTAATATTAGAGCATTGAGACCATTAAAAAACACATGAAAACATCAAGTTGATTTTTTTTATACAAAAAACAAATTAACTTATTCAAAATTAAGTGCAACTTAATTTTAATTGATATAATTGATATAATTTATTTTTATTTTCAACTATATCAAATCAATTTTAATTAATAGTATTTTAAACTAATTTATTATTAATTCAATAAATTCTAAATTCAATCTAAATAGTTATTTCATTTTAATTAAATCAAACATAAATTTATAGCAATGTGGCACATATATTTACCTTTTTTATAGTGCCAGAAAAATAATCGGGTATTTACTTGTAATGGTGACGACAACAACAACAATAAGATTGATTTTTAACTTAAAAACATGCAATGATTATTTAATTTAATAAACCATAAATTTAATTTAAATAATTGTTTCATTTCAACCCAATTAAATGTAAATTTATAACAATATAATATAAATATTTACTTTGTTTATAATACTAGAAAAAGGATCGAATATCTTTCTAGCGGTGGTGATAATGAAAAATTTAAAAGAAAATATCCAAAAATACTTAGAGAACAATATGTGTTTGATTTTTTAATATCTAGAGAAGGGAAAACATGTGTTTGGTGTGGGATATATATGGAGAGATATGAGCCGAGAATGTTAGTTTGCAAAGAGAAAAGGACTTGTTTATGTGCTTTGTGTTCTTCAATCTGAACATGAGTTTGAATTTCATGACATACTTGTTTTTCAAAAGTGGCATTTAATATAAATCATATTTTAAAAGCGTGACAACTTAAAAATATTATATTTTATTAAATTATTTTAAAATTATGTCATGTTATCGAAATCTTTAATTTGCCGCGATAATTTGTTTTAAAAAAAATCTCTTTTTTTTTTCACAGCGCTGCAGTGACCTTTGACCGTACAATGCTAAAGAAAGAGTTGACTTGGAAAATAGCTGGCATTTCCATCTGATTTTGAGCACGTGAGATTTGTTGAACTGTACCACTTATCAAATGTCAGCTCTGCAGTGAACCGGGGCCCACAACAAGCCTGGCGTTAGATTACTACTTACAACTTATAATTAGTGGTAATTGCTTAATTAATTGCCACGGTGTTATCAATATTCATGGCCCTATTATCATTCTATACACTTGTTGTAGTGTATTTCAGTTCAGTTAGAAAACATTATAATAAAATATCCAAAATAGTATTTCACTGTTCATTATATCAGCATATGTTGTTTTGGGAATATGGTTGAAACCGCATGTTTTTTTATCTTGTATATATATTTTTTTATTTTTTAAAATTTATTTTTTATATTAGTAGACAAAATAATACAAAAACACTTAATAATAAGAAGAATAAAAATTTAATTTTTTGGAAAGCATCGCCATGACATTATAATAAACAGGCTCTAAGAGTGTATTTAGAAGTATAAAAAAAAAATTTAAAATATTTTTTATTTTAGAATATATTAAAATATTTTTTTATTTTTTTTAAAGTTTTTAACATCAAAATGATAAAAAAATATTAATTTAAAACCTTTTAAAAAAATATTTAAAATTTTTAAAAAACATGGTTGGATTACAATAACAATTGCAATACCAAATAGTGTTTTTACTATTTATAGTTCTATAGTTTTGATTTAAAAAATCTCAATATCTATCTTCAAAAATTCTAAATCTTTAGATTAAAACTAATAAATTATTAATTTTTAAATTAAAAAGTCTCAATTATTAGTAAATCACTAAAACAGCATATTGCAATTGTTTTATAACATGATTTAAATCATTAGCATCAACTTGCTATGGCTGGTGTACCTGTTATATTACTTAATTCCATGTATTAATTCCAAATGTATTATTTCATAACCATAAGGAAAAAAAAAAACACTATGCTCTAATGCTGACATCAATCATATAATTAAGCATACACTATAAGATATCTCTATGCCACGATTTAACCTCCCCCCTCCCCCCCTCTCTCTATAGCTTTGGACCTATGATATGAACGGTAGTTGTGTTAAATACATGATTTTTAGAACACGCATGTTGTGTTAAAATGGCCTTCTACATAAAGTTCATAATGTTGTAATGAAATCTTAGTTTCATGTTGCATTATATTCTGATTTATAATGCGATAGAATGTTTTGCAAGGATGATAACTGCAAAGTTCATCGCAAAACGATAATGCCCACCGCATCAAGTTCATCAAGAAATTACATTTTAAATTTATAATTTTTATTATCTTTTCTTAATTTAGCTTATATATGCATTCAGTACCATCATTAATTTATATATAGTTTTAGGTATTTGAATTACACACACACATAAACTTTATGCTTGATTGAATAGTTTTAGGTATTTGAATTACACACACTTTATGCTTAATCATTGTATAAAGACAACCGGCGACCGTATCGCAACCAAGATCTAAAACTAGGCCAGGAGACCACGACCTAACAGGAGGCAATGCCATGTATTTTAACATCTGGGATCATTCACCTTTCTTGATCATAAGTTCGACCAATGAGAACTTGGCAATGTTGCTGCAGGAAACAAAACCTGAATCTGCACGAAAACACAGCATCCCACCATTCAAATTTGAGTGTGTTCATGGCATGTCCATTCCTTGTCATCGCTTTTATAGCGTGCTCACGGGCCGGGTATCTTTTAGGATGACATGCTTTTTGAATACCTTTGCCATTTCTTTATCATGCGGATCGAGGGGGGGTGCCCTAGCAGGCAGGAAGATGGTATATTTTTATTTGTTAATTTCTATAGTGTTATGGGGTTGCAGCTAGCGTTGCTCTCCTCCACAATTAATCCACATGTTTGTGTTCTTGTCAATGAGTGCGTATTTTTTGTTACGAATAATGGAGAAAGAGGGAAAGAAGCATTGTATATATCAAGAAAAAAGAAAGCACCTTTATGTGTCAGGTGGGCTTATTATAGAATCATGGCATGTCTTCATTGTATATTTATTTATTTATTTGTAACATGAGTACTCATGATTTGGTTTTTTTTTTTGTCTGATTTTTCTACATTTCTTTTCTTTTATAAATTTAGTTAATGACAATTTTATTTTTTAAGTTAAATTAATTAAATTAAAATTTAGTTAATGAAATAAAATGATTTTGTCTAAAAAATATATCCATTACATGTTAAATCCGCATCTGTTTTACTGTAATAAAATATGCCTTCTATTTTCTTGTAATCTATTCTAATTTACTACATCTTAGAGTTTGTTTGGTAATGTAATTATAGTTATTTTTTAAATAATTTTTTTATTTTTAAAAAAATATTTTTAATATTATCATATTAAAATAATTTAAAAATTAAATTTTTTTTTTGAAAAAGACCCATAGTGTGTTTAACTTTAAAGAACATGTTATAACTAGGAGCTTGCTACTGGATGTTC